ACACCAATTCACTGTTCAACCAACATGATGATGTAGCATAGTTTATCAAGGAGAATCGGAAGCAAGACTTAAGATGTGATGAGTAGCAGAAGTGTGTTCAGATTCAATTAGTGGCACAATGGGTGATATGAGAGTCGGACATTTCTAGAGGGAAACTGCTTTCCATATAAGCAGGATTAGAGAGAGAGAGTTTACATACATTTAGTTCTAGAGCTATGCAGCATCCATCTTGGCTCTCCATGGGATAAATTAATTTAATATTCAATATGCTTTTTAGTATGAAACCCAGTATTCTGATTGTTTTTTCTGATTGCTCTATTTTGATTTCATCTACATGTACTAGGCTCTATTTGACACTCAGGGTATCTACAGCTCATATTCATTCATTAAATTATAGCATAGCAAAGAGAAGAGAGGTTCTGATAGATCAAAATGGTGAAACCTTTGAATGCTGTAGCCTTCATATTTTATCAAGGTAAACAATTTCAGTTCATCTGTACTATTATACTTCAGATGTGTTTAATGTGTAGATGATAAAGAAGACTTTATGTATGTCACTGATGGTGATATATATATTGACATTCAGTAGGTCCTTGATAATATTAATGACTGCTTTTTATAGCTTTGCACAGCTTGTATGTTAAAAACCTTGAGCATAGACATATTATAGACGTGATGGATTGTATCATATCTGTTGTCTGACTCACATGTATGGTTTCTATAAATCTTATCAGTTGATTGAAGGAAGTAAACCGCACCTTTTCATTGGGTATTACCACTTAATCGGAAAATATCACTCATTGGGTATTATCACTTATTGGAAAATAAATTGTGGCTTTATCCCATCCCATATTACGTCAACCTCCCCCCCTTCCATATAAAAACAGCAGCTGCTTATAAAGTTTCTGCCATATACATGAAGTGAAGAGATTAAAAACGGATTAGCTGTCTTCTTAGGAAATCGCTTCAGTTTGATGAAGCCTTTTGCAAGTCAAATGAAATTACCTCAATTGCATTGACTTAGATGACATGACATATCTTGAGATGTCACTTAATCAATATCATCAGTATTTCTTTCATGTACTGTATACTTACTCATAGTCACACACACAATCTTGTCTGGCTGGGGCGTATCAAAGGTTTTTACATATCCCAAGCCCATCTTGATCTGTCACATGAAGATGAAGCTCTCTTTTAAGATGTGAAATCAAACTATTGGTAAAGGTATGACCACATATGTCTCATCTAAGAATACATAAGCAAAAAATACTCAACTTTACAACAATTTTTTCCTTTTATCAGGTTCTAGGGTCATACAAAGTGAGACCCCAACAGTAAAAGTAAAACAATGCAGGTGTGGTATATGAATGATATAGACCATACTCCCTTGCAGAATAAAGATAAACATTATCAGACTACAGGCCCGTAGCCAGGGGGGGTTCGCAGGGTTCGGGCGAACCCCCCCCTGGCCAAAAATTCTTTCAAAATCATGCAGTTTTTCACCATTTTGAGCACTTCTCAAGTGATTTTAGCCATATTTGGGCCAAAATTGTCAAATGTGAACCCCCCCCTGGAAATTTTTGAAAAATGAACCCCCCCTTGGCAAATCCTGGCTACGGGCCTGGACTAAAATCCACTTTTAAAGCAAATTATAGAGCAATCATGAGGGAAATTCCAGAATATCAAATTGCTAAGGGTTAAAATGAAATAAGTAACCATATTAAAGATGGCCGCTTGAAAGCTATCAGCTGCTGAGAGAATGATCATGGACTTTCTCTAGGTGAGACCCCATGGAATGATGTAGGAAGCGTTAATGCAGTGATGACTAGCAAACATGATGTATTGTCTTGGGTGTCATTAATTACACTGAAATAGATTGCATTGGTTCATCTAGGACATCTTAAAAGGTGAAGAGATAGGATACCTATGATGATAACACAAATGTTGTGATTGTCCCATCTCGATGTTAACAAGGTTCAGTTGATTTAACCTCACCTCAGAAGTTGAAGATGGCTTTCCCTAGTATCAAACAAGCTGCACCCACTTAATTCAGAAATACCTTGCACCCACTTAATTCAGAACTACCTTGCACCCACATGAAAATTCATTTGCACCCAGTTGAGAATTGAAAAAAATCATGAAGAATGTGTCATAATTTGATTATTCTTGTTTTGGGAACAATACTCTCGATTGATTACATGAGGCAAGCCTGCCCTCATTTTTGCCTTCGTTATTCACAGTGTTAAAACTGTTCTTTTGTTGTTCTTTTCATTCTGAATTAGTTTAACAATGGTTTATGTAAATATGTCAGGGTAATATGAATGCAAGATTCATTACCCTTTTGAAGAATTGATCAATATCTATGCTCTTCAACGAGAGATAACTCGTTGACCAAGCCAATACGTACACGGGTAGTATGAAGACAGGAAATCCAGTTAATATATACAAGTAGCATTACACAAGCTAACAATCATTTTACATATAAGCTACATGAGAGGTCATTAAGACCAGGATCAAAACTGTTAAATACATGTAATAATCAGAGCCTAGTATTGTTTGTTGGTGAGAAATCAGGGTAGAGAGTGTTATATGAAATCCCATTGATGCTTTCCAGGTTAGGCTGCCTTAATTATAAAGGAAGATGACATTACCCATAGTTCTTGTTAGGTCACATGGGTGAGCTATTGTTTTCGCCCACTTGTCTTGTATTTAATCCACAACAGTAATTTAGTATTAATATTGGCAAGGAAAGAGATCTTAGAACTTCAGATGTTGGGAAGGATCATCTTGGTGTGCTGTGATGTTACATTCAGTCTCATTATGTAGGATTTCCGACTTTGGTGCACTAAAACTGATTTATATAGCTTCGCTGTACCTTTTAAAATATCAGAGAAATACGGTTTTATTTTGAATCTACGAATATATCAGGAGTCTAATTACCTTGGAACAAAAAGTCGCATAAATATTTACTTTTATCTAGCCAGAAACATCAGTAACACCCAATAATAGGAGTTACTTCCTTTATATAAAAAGGAAAGAAAAATACTGATGTTTTGGTCTGGCTTTGGTCTGTCAATATAGCTTTGAATTCAGCCAGTATTCTTGCAAAAAATGCATCTGTAGATCTACAAGTTGTTTTGAATCACCTGTATAATTATTAGTAGCCTAGACCTCTGAGTCAGTAATATTTCTGAAATTGCTCATTTTTATTCAATATCATTTGGAATTAATATTGGGATTTTATTAAGCGGAGAGATTGTAAGAGAAAGTGCCGTTGTTTAACTATTGGCAGACTATAATGTTACTCGAGCAGCTGCTTTGTAGTATAAATATTGGCCATAGTAAAACATCGGGAGAAACTATTCACCAACCACCTTTTATTGAAGGTTTCTAATGTTAAACATACAGAACTTAATTATTAAGGTGAGCTGATGATTTGGATCAATACTTATGAACCTCATGCTCCTGTATACAAACTCAACTTTGGTGATTCTTTTAATTAACTCTGGTTAAAGTTACATGGTATGTTTAATTGCTTCATTACGAAATGGAGGTTTTTTGTGTCACAGACACAAAATCCTTTGTTACGGAGCTTTTTGTCAAAATGCTTACGTAACAAAGCAATTGAACCCTGCTGTGTACCATTATTTATCAAAAATGAACATCTATTTTCATTTTATTATATAACTTAGTTGTCTCATGATATGTTAAACTTTAATGAAATATACCGTGCATTAATTATAACAGAAGTTTAAGGAAGACCCACTTGATGAGAATTTTTACGTAATTAGCTTGATTTTGAATACCAATAATTTTAAGAACAGAAAATATCATTCACATTTTTACATGGATATTTACATGTTATGGTAGAATACATAGTTCAACATTAAGATATTTCAACTGAAACGTTGAAATGACATCTCTTCAAATTATTTTCCTTTTTTACTCATCCACTTGAGCTTCCATGATACATATTAAGTTAACTGTTGATATTTAGTCTTAGAACTGACTGCTTACATTTTATTTATGAAGTGAAAATGAGTGAGTAAGTCCCTCCACAAGGTCAGATTGTCTTCTATTTCCTATTTCCTTTTTTGTAAACAAATCTTTCTTGAAGAGGGGGATATTGGAAAATGTCTTTTCTGGATTGAAAAACAAGTTAAGTAATTCAATTTTTATTGACTAGTTTAATCAACTAGGGATGTAATTCTCAATAAAAGTTGTTTGTATAATTATTTGGCAAAGTGGGCGTTTGTTGTGTGATACATGCATGTATCTCAAATGTCTTCTTCATTATCGCCTATCACGTCAGACTGAGTAGCTTATAAAACAGGTAGTGCTTTGGCCCTGTTGACGAACAATGCATTGTTTGATGTTCTTGTCGTACCAATATGATGAAATTGATATGATAGACATATGTTGAAACTACATTCTATGTAAGAATTAACAAATTGATAAAGGTGATAATTTCATCTAGTATATTATCACAAAAATAGTAGCATGAGGGTAAATAATTATCTTCTGCTGGAATACTGTTGCATTATGGGGCATTGTTTCGTAAGATGATATTTTCTAAAGGTTATTATTTGGTTTAATAATGCATTTTCTTCATCTGTGTCTCCATCTGTTTATAATATTCAAGGGAGACCTGTTTTTTCTTTTTAATTGTGTACATTTTTTTAATCTTTAATATCTGGTCAACATTTTCATATTCGGACACACGACTTTCTTCACTACCTTGAGCATACATACACATTATTAATTGTTATATTACATTCATAAATACGGTGTTAGAGAAATTTGGTTAATTTTTTGATTGAGCCAATCTCCTAGACTCTTTTGCTGCAGTTGATATCTATTTATCTATGTATCATCATGGGATAGATAATCATAAGTTGGTGGCAGTAGAAGGTACAAGACGCCAAGCTGTATTTTAGATTTTTGCCGTCTGCTGAACTATTGCATTATGGGATATAATGTTTGAATTTTGTGTGTTTCAGGATGGACAGCTCTACATGAAGCTTGTAACCATGGCTGGTTAGATGTGGCTAAGGCTCTGCTGAGAAATGGCGCAGATGTCAATGTACAGGGCTTAGAGAATGATACACCACTACACGATGCGGCCATAAATGGTCATATAAAGGTAAATGCACGGTTAACTAATTCTCTGATGTTACCATGGCAACTTGTTTTAATAATCCTGGAAAACATATATAAAAAGCTATATTGGAAACTGTTTTATCTATCGCTGTGTATTTCCTGGAAAGCAGAAAAGGCATAGACTGGGGATTATCTGGGGATTTTCTAAAATAACAATTACAGAAAATATGAACAACTGAATTTATGAGTTTTTGTCTGAAGGTGATCTAGATCTATGTAATAAGATAACAGTTTGACTTATAATTCTTCCTTACATAAAAGACGTTCATAAAAACAAAAAAAATAAAAAGAAAGATTGAATAGCTAAGATTGTGTATGCCTGGTACATATTGATCTCTAGACTTGTGTTTAGCCTCAGAGTCTCGCATCCTAAGCCACATTGATACTGCGCATAAATAAAGACACTTTTGCCATTCCTTCTAATCTAAGGAGTGTAAGCACACTTGATGCCATGTGACATAGAGACACGTATTGTTTTCTCTACTTCATTTTCTCTCACATTATGCGACATATTAGCTACAATACGAGGTTTCGTATGACGCAAATGAATTCAGCATGTAATTATGACAGAATAAGTCATCATCTATAAACCAATCAGTTTTCAGAGAACTATTTCCTGTAAATATGTGATATAATGCGTCAACAAAAGTTATATTAAGTACAGTGCTGTGTATATGTCTATATATAAATTTGGCATGAAGATATCACAATATTGTAGCATTCATTTATTTTCTTAGAAAGATGAGTCTATTTTATTCAAATGATGTTCCTTTTCAAAATAAACAGAAACTCTTAATTGGTTATGGAACTCTAATATTTGATTGGTTCTTCAGCTTGTGAGGCTGTTGGTTCGACACGGGGCTAATCCATACCAACAGAACAGCAAAGGTACCTCACCACTAGATGTCGCTGCTACCAGTACTATAGTGAAGCTCCTGAAAGGCGATGTGTTGACGAGCAGCGATAGTTCCGACAACAGTTCACCTACATCACCTGAGAGTATTCTCTCTGATAAAGAGGAAGAAAAGACAGAATCTCAAGGTATACATTTACTTAAAAAATAATTTTTCATTGCCTTTTCAGCTGTATCTCTCAACCATTATTAAATGAATAACTTGAAATAGCTTTAATCAACCTTCATAAAGATTAAGGTAGAACTTCTTTCATCAATGATTAAGCATTGTGGTTTCACAATATTATAATCAATATTAGTAGATACGTTTGTTCTAGGGCTTGATTTCCCATTTTAGTCTACATAGGATTCCATATAGTTTGGGGATTCAAAATAAACTCTTTTTCTCATCAAAATTTGAAATGTCCAAAGTTGGCAAAAAATCTATATTTTTATGATTTTTTGAATTTTCAACTTAAGATTTCTTTTGAATAACCCAGATGCCAATAGGTAGCTTCCAATTTAACAACCAGGTCTTTAATTTGAGTCAACCAAAGTTCTAGATGTAATTTTACATGTAGTAGGTTTCAAATATGATATCACTTTTGAATTTTGGATATTTAATGATGTGATTCAAAATTATTTCTACTCGCATCTAGTAATCTATTCTCAACTGGGTTCAGTTATAAGTTTTGATTCAGCTAAGGAGATAACTGTGCTCATACAACTCCTGTCCCATTTGGTCTTACTTATTCACCTTTGCAAAAATCAATACTTACGGCGGCCATTAAACTATCCATTTCTCAGAAACCTATTAATTTCATTTGAAGCTAACAAAGCTCAAATGGGAGCTAATCTTTGCATCATACTTGTCTGTCTATATCATGAGAACTGCACTATTCTGATCAATATTAATTTTAATTTCCGTATTTAGCTTTTCTTAGAAATATTCAATTAGCATTGTTCTAAACAATAGGAAATATTTAAGTAGAATTATAATATTTATATATTTATTTGTTCATTGTCCCATATTATGTATGATATACTGTATTATCCTACACTTAGTGTACTAAATGTATAATAACGTGAAAAAATAAATTTGATATTTATTGGCAAAATGAATATCCGGAGGATATCGTAACGATATACTCCGGGCAGAGGATATCGTGATGATATACTCCGGAAAAGCCAATATGCGGAGGATATTGTGACGACATACTCCGCTTGTTGATTTCCCGCCAAATTGACTCTATTTGGCATGAAATTCATTTTACAATGATATAATTATACATTCAGTACACTCCTTGTAAGTGTAGGATAATAAGAACATCCTATCCTTTTTTTAGAATATCATTTTAATCTACTCGGTGATATTGATATATACACTCGTTCGCTTCGCTCTCTTGTGCAGATATCAATATCACCTCGTAGATAAAAATGATATTCCTCAAAATCATAGGATATCCTATAATTTGTAACAGAACGTAATGAATATGACTTATCATGTATAAATGTGTAAAATATTTTTGCATGATTTAATTGAAGTAGTTTTTTGCCAGATAATTTGCAAGGGAACACTTTTCCAAGAAATTTACTGTGCTAATAGACCATAAAGTATAATTACTCTAATGTAATATTCTAAAGTTAATGGTTATTTTATTGTGTTTGCAGACTCTGAGTCTATTGGCTCCCCAATACACAGTCAGCTCCAGCTAGATGCCCTCGGGCTAGCCACATCAACAGGGGCTCCACGGACCTTCCCCCACCCTCAGAAATCTTCCCCCTCATCACAAGAGCAGTCTTCACCAAGGCTGACCCTCAAGTTCCAGCACTTGAAAAACAAGGACCGAGAGGCTGCTGCGGTGGTTCCACGTAAATCATACAGTGTGGCGTATAACGAAGATAAAGGGGAAGGTTTACGAATACCATCCCCAGCATTTAGTTCATCAAGCCAAGACAGTGACTTATATAACCCTAGGCTGAATATAGATTCAGGCACAGATGAAAAAGTTAATTCAACCGAGAGCAAATCAAAGCCTGCCAGCTTACTAGACTTTGCTAGTGCCTTCAATTCATTTGTGGGCACCGGTTCTACCTCTAAAACTGAAGAGTCAGCTACTATGGAAATACCCACAACAGAAGCTTCACCAAGTAGTAATAACAAAATACGACATATACTTCCAAACTTAGACCCTAAACCCTCCAGCACTCCCGCCAAACAGAAAGATCCATATGCATTTGAGGATATTTCAGATGAAGAAGTGAAACATTTAAATAAAAGTAAATCTAGGGTAGCTGTAGACTCCTCCACAGACTCCTACATTCCAGAACACAGGATTGATAGACTAAAGGCCAAGCATATAGACCGGCCAGTAGATAGACTACATGATAGGTTACTATCAGATAAAGGTGCATTCCGGGTGAGTGGTCCAGTTTCAGCCACTAAACAAGATAAACCTGAGGATAAAGATCGTGTATCTCCCCCTGAAGCCACACCATCTAGTTCAACTGACCAATCCGGAATCACCTCATCTTCACTCCTTACAGACACTTCTATTGCCAAAGACAAATCATTGAAAAGGAAAGAAATTCCAACGGGTAACATTTTTAAATCAGAGGAAAGCAATATATTTGGAGAAAAAGAGGCCAAGTTATCACCACGAAGTGATATATGTAAAGAGCGAGAAAGGAAATCATCCCCCAAATTAGATTTATTCCGCAATTCACCAAGGAGTGATTATAGTGCGGGTTCGTCACCGAAGAGTGACAAAGATAGGTCTAATTCACCAAAAGTTCCTCCTCTTAAAATTATTATACCGTCCAAAGGTAGTTCCAAGGCCAGTAGTAGTAGTGGCAGTGCCAGTCCAGAGAGTGAAGAAAACATTCGGAAGACAACAATGAAACCTGCACTTCCCTATATTCTCCATGCTTCAGGTGGAGAGGGAGAGCAAACAGGAGAAGAGCCAATGTCAACTGAGGCTGTTCCAGTCACCTCCCTTGAGCCAACTGAATCAGAAAATGCTGATAAAGATGGTGCTAGTGCTACAATAGAACCACAAGAGGCTGATTCAACTAAAGGAGAGGATTCTAAAGATGGCACAAAGGAGGACAGTAAAGATGAAGATAAAAGAGAGGATAGAGTTCCTAGGTCGACCCGAACTCTGCGCTCCCACACCGCCAAACAGGAGGCTCAACAGGCAACAAGTACCAGCCAGAATGGCAAAGGGAAAGGTAGGGTTGCATTCTGATTATTATCCTAATATGGTACTAATATCATTGTTAGAGCTACTTTTAGGACAAAATCGGCGTGACTTATGATATTGATGGGTTTCTCGTTGGTATAACCTAAATTGAACCTGTCATAGAATTTTGCCCTATATGAGATGGTGAATGAAAAATCACTGTAGCTATCATAGCGAAAATTCACGTTAACTAGACTGTTAGAAATTAGATTATGAAATATTTCAGTTGTGTAGATAATCAGTGTTGGGAATTGGTTATGTTAAAGTACAATATCTATAAATAGCATAGTTAACTTTTAGATAGCTAGCTAATCAGTGTTTGATATTGCCTATTGTAAAAGCATGATGTCTAAAGATAGCAGCTGAAGTTAAATTGAATACATTCGATTCAGGATGAATCTATTTTAAGATATTTCTAGTGTATTACCACTTATGCCTTGGTCACGTTTGCTCAGATTTTCACTACGGTGCCTGACCGATTGAGTATTTTGTTCAAAATTGAATACAATATTGAACAAAGCACTCAATCTGTCGGGCACCGGCCGATGAATTGGAGCAAATGTGACCCAGCCATTAACTGGGTTAATAATTCAATGCTTAAAAAAGAAGCACAGAATAACAAGAACGATAAAGCCTTATTAGCATATCTTGATATTCTAATGTTAATATTCATATTTTATCATATTCCCACATAAAGAAATCAGAATATAGCTTTGAATCATGTTGTCACAATGTAATTGATGATATTTGCTGTAGAACATATATAATCATTGTTTAGTATTTTAATACTTATTGAATGATATAACTCATGTATACATCACTTTATATAGGGAAACAAATAACAAATCAATTAATAATTTGTATGATCATTTATGGCACAGTAGACCTTTCTCTGATATTGCTGCGGCGCCCAGCCGATTGAGTATTTTGTTCAAAATGGAATACAATTGAACAAAACACTTACTCGGTTGACCAAGGCATTACAGTAGTGCTGACAACAGTCAACCTATCACATCATCAATCTAGCTAATGTATCCCAGCTTCTTTATAAAGGTGTCGGGTTTATTGAAAGGCCAATTATATGAGTTAGATAAAACATGTTTACATTTGAGTTTATACCATACAAAAAGTCAATAGCTATAACAGTATAACCTGTACATATGTACTTTATTACCTTTATTTCAAAATGATTGAACTCTAGGCTAATATCCAAGCTTTATAGAGTTGTTAGGTTTTGAGAATGCATATAAAACAGTTGAATTATAACCTTCACCCAGACATAATAGTGCTTTACATGTGGAGTGTGCTACGGACACAGTGAACTTTGCTCAAATATTTTCTTTACAAAACTACTCAAGTTAAAAACCAAGCAATATCAACTAGCGATTTCACATATGTGTGTAGTATTTTATTATCAAAATATCAGGCGATGTATGGTTTATTCATTAATTTAGTTGAATTTTAACAAGTGGGGGCTACTTTGGTGTTGGCAAGTTTACAGGACTTTGTCATTGAACTTTGTGGAGTGTTATTTTAGTATTTAAAATGGATGATTTTCAGCAATCAGTTATTGAAATATATACTAGCTGGTGAGATAAGATTTTTAGCCTTTTTTTTGTTACCTGTGCTTTATAAACAGTCTGTGCTATAACAGGTGATAAGAAAGCATGATTTGAAGGTCTTATATGTTTTGATTGATTATTCAGATTACCCATAATGCAATGCATCATACTCAGACGGATCTATTTTTTGCAGCATCTTCAAGTTCTTCAAACAGTGAGATGTCGAACGATAGTAAAAAAGAGGAGGAACATATAAATGTTCATCCACGAAAGCGAAAACTGCGTGGGGGACGTCATGAGCCTACAGAAAAGCCTGTGCAGACTGCCACACCTCCATTACCTCCACTTGCGTCCTATGAAAAGCCAGAGAATCCTTATGAGCTATATTTGGACATTCGCAAACAGGTTGGTTAATAATAATGATTTTGTGAGAGGTGGATCATTACAGTTGGGGACATAAATAAATGACAGGTGGATTTGCTGAAGTGAGGATTTCCCATGTTAAAAATAAGAGAATTTACAAGAGGCCATACATCAGTGGATGAGATTATACAAAATGTAAAATATACAAATTTTAAGGGATATATATCTAGACAATATTGGAAATTATGGGCTTTCAGACCACCATAATTAGGAAATGGTGATCGAAAATCGACCTGTCATTTATTTTTGTCCCCAACTGTACACAGAAAATATCCCCAGCCTGAAATTTAAAGGGCAATCACATAGAATTCTTAAATAAATGTTTAAAACATTAACTTTGAGAAGGGTACTCCCATTATCTAGTATTCTCTGCTTATTACTGTATAAATGCTTGAAAATACATTAACACTTAATGCTATACTATGTCATTATATGAGTAATACCTTTAAGAGTATTTTATATTACATACATTAATGAATAACTTGTGTAGAACTGGGAATTAATTTTATGTGAACCAAAATCACATCCGCTTACATTATTTATTATTTCTATTTGATTCCTATATTTTGAATCATTTGCAATTTTTGATTGTTGACTGTTTGCCTGCAGATTGCAGCACGTCGCCACAACATGTTTGTCGTCCAGCCAAAAGCCCCCAATGGTTTCAAGGACTATCTCATGATGAGTGGCAATTACGTCCTAAAGGGAAACACGGCCAGTAGGTTCGCTGTTCCTATGGTGAGTAAAAATAAAATATAATAATAAAAAAGAAAAGCATCAATATGTTTGGCAGTGGGTTGTACTATACTGTTGTGTGGTAATCATTGGTGCGAAAGGTCAAATTTATTTCCTTGTATATGAGTTGTTCGTGTTCATGTGCCAGTATATTATCAAAATCATGGAAGTATGAGAGTAGGCATACAGATACTTCCCTCTCAATCTCATTAGTGTTTTTTACAGCCAGACATGGGGACAATTTTTACATGCTTCAGAAACACTATTGTTATTTAGCCAATTAATCTATATGGTATTGTTACAAGATTTATTTATGTCACACATTAAATGTTTTCATCTTGTTCCAGTTGTCACCTCCAAACTCTGTAAGTTCTGGACCAATGAGGGACCTTTTCATGGAGCAGGAAAAAGAACGCTACAAACTCCGCCTACAACACGTCGTAGAGAGGGTAAGTCAATTAATCAACAGGGAGATTATGTCAAAGCCCATGTTTTGAGAGAGAATGAGATGGAGATATATGGAAGAAATTGTGTTGTGAATCCATAATCATATATAGGCATCAATTATTTCATGACTTTATCTCAAAAATTGCTAGTGACTTTGTTGACTTATTATTTGGAATGATTTTTATTATATTTACAAATGTACTAGACTTATAGTTGATATATTGAAATTGTTCAATGTACAACTGTATATAGAATATCGATAACAGAGTGAATCATATACTTTACCGTGTCCATGTTTATACCAAGTTTTCATTTTTAAAGTGCTTTAATTGTTGTTTCATTTCCAGGAAAAACTAATGTTATCCAATGAGCAGGAAGTGGTCCGTGTTCATGGTAGAGCAGCTAGAGCGTTAGCCAATCAGAGTGTGCCATTCAGCGCATGTACAATCTTGAAAGACGAAGATATATACAACATGTATAATCTTGACGCTGAGATGGCAGCCGATGAAAAAGATAAAAATGTGCGGTCGCGCTATAATGGCCGTCAATTCCTCTCCTGGATTCAGGACGTGGATGATAAATATATGAAAATAAAGGTAAGGAACTTGTGGGTTGACATCCTCCTAAGCAGGTGTCCAGAATCCGTACCTCCTTCTTCCCCCTGCTATAACCAATTTGGAAGCGCCCGATTTAACTGAATCACGTGATCTAATTATGCGCAATGACTTTTACATGATTTCTGTCGCAGTGTTGCGACAGCCAATCAGATTGCGAGTTCTTAATCGGGGAAAAGGTAACTGCTTATCGCAGGGGGTAAAAAGAAAGAAGTATTCTGGATTTTGAAGCCCTGTGATCGGAGGATGGTGGGTTGATGATATCCTATGTTGTTGTCTTGAGTTAAATGTCATTGCAATCCTGTCTGTTTTCTAAATAATCTTGGATGTTAAGATCATTAAAGCTGGACTGCGCTCCGAAACGCAATCTTGGGTTGTTTCGGGGGTGAACTTTATCATTTTGAGCTTAATGAACGATTATAGAATGATGAACAAATGGGGCAAATCTTGTGTAGAAATACTTACGATAAATGTGTCATTTCATAGATTTTTCATTGAATTTGCTTCGATCTGAGCCGGCGATATGATTTTGGAAAGGTTTCTAAATGAAGAATGTGACGTCACTTCCGAATCATAGCATTTAAAATAAGTAGCGTTTAATTACTTTCACTTTCAACAAAAATATGGTGGTGTAGCGGTAGAATCCTCGCTTAGAACGCGGGAGGCCCGGGTTCGAATCCCGCAATTGCCTTTTAATTTTTTTAACTAAATGATTCTTCTTTGATATTACGCAGAAAAAAATTTTTTTTATTTACATGAACTTTATATTAGAGCTTGAAAATGTAAAAACAATATATGTCAACATACTGCGTTTTGGAGCGATGTGTAGGTTTAAGGGTCAGTATATCATTGTGAGTGTAAGTACTCGTGCATTTGTTGGATGACACTGTTTTTTTGGGGGGTCCCTACCAAGTTTCCATTTCAAGTGTACCATTCAGGAACTTATGCATAATCCAGAACTAAGTATAATCCAGAACTAAGCATAATCCAGAATTAAGCATAATCCAAAACTAAGCATAATCCAAAACTAAGCATAATCCAAAACTAAGCATAATCCAAAACTAAGCATAATCCAAAACTTAGCATAATCCAGAACTAAGCATAATCCAGAACTAAGCATAATCCATAATTTATTTTACAGGAAGCACTGTTACTGAGACATCATCATGAGGCTGAGTCTTTACATGCTGTACAAAAAATGGACTGGGAATTCAAAATGAAAGAACTAGGAATTTGTGACTATAAATCAAACCCAGTTATTGATGACTTACATGTGCCCATGGTACATGTGAGTGATGAATTTGATTTACTACCAACGTAGCGGCAGTTTAGAAAGAGGGGGATATATGTCAAATTTCAGTGGAGAGAGATCGAGAATTTTACGAATTTACAAAAATGATTTTAAATGACTTAGCATTGTAGTTTTTGTAGCTATTGAATCAGTATAGCTGCCCGGTGAGTGAAATCAATTTTAAAAAGTTGTATGGAGTTACTCTTGATAAGAAATATGATCATTTTGATTATAAATTTTCAACTCCTGTTTACCTCATTTATATTTTAAATTGTGACTCCATTAAGGCCAGTTTTAGCTTCAGTTTTATAGAAATGAATAAATCAAATGTGATATAGACAAGGCTCTAGCAAAGACAAGGCTCTAACTTAGACGAGCCTCTAGCTGCCTGGTTTAAATTGCATTATGATCATGGGCTCTGAACCATAGTTCGAGCAAAGAATGCAGATATTGAGAAAATATACTGCAAAGCTAATGAGTGAATTATGTTTTAATTGCATGTTTGTGTAACTGTTCTAGATATTTTGTGTACCCATGAAGGAAAATGATCAACAGACCTATAAAGAACTTATATTTTGTTTTCTTGTGTTGTTTTTAGCGATTTGAACAATGAAAATTGTTGGACAAATGATGATTCGAAAACAGGGAGAAAAATTTAGCAGGGTTCACAATCAAGGTTGAAAACATGATTCTTACAATTATTGGCATATGATCCTTTGCCCAATGGGCACCAAGTTCATTGCTGAGTAAAAATTGATTGCCATAGCCAACCAACTGGAAGTTTTGAACCCTGAAATATAGGCTTGTGAGAAATCATTTTCTTTCCATGGGTACTTTTATTTTACCCGTCAAAAGTACTTCATTCTTACTCCTGCTCTCGAAAACAAAAGGAATTTTTGAGAGTAGCGTGTGACATTGAATTATTTAGGACGTCAACTCTCATCCTCATGTTGTAAATACAGACCTCCATTTAGCGCCATCATTTCAAAGAGTGCTTATTTTTGCAGATTATCATGTTATATTGTAAATAAATAAACAATGACATTGTATATAATAATTGTATATAGTAAAACAGTCAGATACATATTGTACATATTGTAGAATCATAGATTTAAGGCCTCATATCTGAACATAAATGTACATCGAATGCATCTTTAAGGATCCCAGGCTGTGCAATCATTTGAATTCACTTCCCAAGTATTATAACGTCTGTTTATATTAAACAAATGAAAAAACTAGAGCACTCTGGAAAGTGAGCAGTCGTGGGTTCGATCCCCACTATGGTAGACTGACTTTTTTACATCGGCCCTAAGCACAGAATTTCATGATTAACAAATAGTTGTCAAAAAATGATGTACATTTGTGTTTTGATTTGTCTCTAAGGCAACCAATTAAGGTGATGCAGATATGAAGAATTCAGATTGCCTTAGAAATTCAACTAAAAAGTGATGCCAATTTAGAGATCTATTTTAATGAATGAATCATATTTTAAATTGTATTAGCATTTATTGCAGGCCTGGCTTGGAAGAACAGTTTTTATCATATTTTGGAATCGATCTTCAGATTGAGTCATGATTTCATATATTTTTACATTTGATTGCATTTTGGATGAAATGCATTTAAGGTGGGCTTAGATTGGCAAATTTTGGACACATTTACAACCTAGTCCGTCCACCTTAATTGATATTTCTATTTCATAAAAAACTGTTTAGATTAAAAGTAATTAAGTGATTACATTCTTTTTAAATGTTAATATTGATGTACAATTTGAATGGGTTAAGCAATCAGTGTCAAAGGGCTTTCATCTAGTTTTCTTCTATTAGACTATTGTAAAATGTCATGATAGCACTGTTGCTTAGTTATATTATATTACACTAGTGTAAAATGTCAGGATAGCACCATTGCTTATTAAATTCAAAATAAAATATTGGCGAAGGACATAATGACTCATAATCTGTTGACACAAAGGTCATATGAGTTCAGAAATTCTGAAAACATGATAATCCTTATCAAATTTAAAGGACCTTAATACTGCTAGAGTGTGTTTCTAGTAAAATTTAATGATTGTGGTTGATTTCTATAATGTTACATAGGTTCTATGTTATTATATCATAATGGTTTGGTGTTATATCACAATGGTTCAGTGTTATATCACAATGGTTCTATGTTATATCACTATGGTTCTGTTCTTTCACAATGGTTCTTTGTATTTGTGGTATTGTATTGTAGTCTACAGTACATCATGTGAAGATGTTCACATGAAAATAAATTCATGAAAACAATATATTTTACTGTTATCTTTATACACCAAATCCAAATTATTACATACGGTGACAAATTGTGCGAACACCAAACACTGTCCACAAAAAAGTTGTATGATGCTGCTCATCAGGTGCTTCGTTCGCACAAAAAAATTGATTCTGTTTTTTCACCTAACCATATTTCATGTATTTAAAGGAGTTAACATGCAAAATGTCACTACCTGCCATTTGTTACAGATACCAACCGCCATCTTAAAAAAGTTGGGAGACCATAACAATATGTCAACACTTTTGATGGAGAGATAAGAATGAGACCTTAGTATAATTTGCGCAATCAAATGACTTGATGCAGATTGCTTTTCTGTTAATATTAATTTTAAGGTGGCCTAAAATGCTGCTTATTTTTCCGTGAAGCCGCTCAGTAAAATTACGATTTCTCTGCACTTTGATGTCCAATCAACATCATTCGAGTATCTGTGTGTTCCTGACACGTTTGGCCATCCGGTAATGACAACGTCTACATTTACCCAATGTTTGCAGGCGAATTTGACGCATTTCATGAATGAAATCAGGAAGACAAAAATATGTGGTATTCTTTCAGAATTGTTTATAATAACTATTTACAAAAATGTTCCTGAGACACAAATCCATTAAGGTAAAGTTTGTTTTAAAGTCGAAAAGCCCAAATAAGACAATACAAACCCAGATAAAACCCGGAAGACTGCACATTTCATGTAAAGATTTACGTTCATGTAATCAAGTACATATAATCTCGATATAAAACACTGGCCTACGTGACATGTAATAACATGTTCAAACTGAAATATAGAAAATTTTCAACATAGCATTTACTTCTGTGTTCTGTATGCCCCTCTACCTGCTAAATAAGGCAATGTATCTTCAAATAAAACCTTAGCCAAGTAGATTAGAGTCTCTGGAACACTTTTGTAAATAGTTTTTACAAGCAATTTTGTTTGTGAATCTCAAATTTTGTCTTCCTGATTTCAGTCATGAATTACGTCAATTTCGCGTGCAAACTTTGGGTAGACGTTGTTGTTCCCGGATGCCCAAACATGTCAGGAACACATAGATACTTGAATGATCTTGATTATTGGACATCAGGTTGCAGAGAAATCGTAATTTTACTGAATGGCTTCACGAAAAAATAAAAAGGCTATACGCCTCATTAAAACTGAGAACATTACTTATTTAGGAGACATGCAGCCTGTTGACATTATGAACAGATGTGTATCAAAAAAAAACTTAGTTATTCAAAAGTATTCATTTATTGCACCATTACAGTCTTCTAATTCATACACAGTATAGGGTACCAACGGTTCATTAACTTATGGGTGGCCATCTTGATTTCTGGAAGACGTCTCAGAATTTTTTCTATAAATCTTGTCATTACCATTCCAGGAAAACCACCAATCGGATTTCCTTCAGAGATAACTTCATTTTTATTTGGTGGTGTGATTTCATTCAGGTGACATCCCTTATTCAAGGGTAAACCAAAAACAAAAAGCTGAAACTCAGTTCAAGCATAACATGAATTATTTCAATTTTATAAATGATACAGAGTTCTTGGCATAAAAGAAATATTTCAACAAACAAAAAGCTGATTTCTCAGCAAAGAGGAAAAAAGTTGCTGGAACCAACAGTGACAGACAGTTAGACAAGTAGGTGATTCCAGAGGCTCATCACATGAGCAAACAAAAAAAGATTATTTTATTCTTAACAAAAAAAGAATATTTAAAAACAGATGTATCAATTAACAATCAATTTATTCAAATTACTGCACACATTGCATTGTGGGCAAAGTTCTATAACACACTACAAGTACAAACACAACATAATCGTAGCTGCTTACATTTAGTATAACATATTTTAATAACATACAATTGAATCTTGGCAAATTATTATATACAATGGCCTCATTATTTACAATGCCTGATAAATAAATTGATAATATTAACTGGTTTATCCTCATACAAATATTTCCTCTGTTTAGCTACCCATTTCTGAACCTTCACATTTGACAGATCAATTATAACAAAGGTCATTTTGCCAAATCTACCAGCAGTGACCAACAACTTCATCTACGATGGTATCTGTTACACAAAACAATTAAATTAAAAGTTTTGTTTTTGATGATTTCCTCACCTTGCATGTTCTTAATTCTCTCAATGTGAAAACAAACTACAAATACTAAATTGATTCTTATTGATAAGAAATATTGCTCAATTAATACATATTATTGCACCAAATTAATTATATAATAAGATATTGTATTTATTGTTAATCAACATATCTGCATAATGGCCTTAATTTCAAGCAAATATAGTTTCTGAAGCCTTTGTATACTGCAACTCAAGAAAATCTCCAATGTCTTTCCATGCAATGCAGCTAAACTGGTAATAAGAATGAATTAATAGAGATCTGCTACTAACTGGCGATTTCTACATTGAAGTCTTACGTAGAATCTCTTGAACCCCCTCCCCTAAGCTTATGGATGAACTAACTTAGATAGCTGTAGGGGATGGGGTCACAAAAGGGCTTGAAGCAAGATCTTTGACAAATTCAAAAATAAATCATTAATAAATATGTCAAAGTCAGAAGTTGTAAGAATTGTTGTAATAATCACCAGAATGTATGTTTATTTATTTATAATGTAAATAATCTTGGCAACCATGGAATTCATTGAAAATTACATTGATTTATATTATGTACATTTTTGAATTGTATATTTGTATACTGTACAAGTGTAATGGTGAATCCTGTATAACTGGAATTAATTTCACTTTTTGAGTTAATGACATGCATTTGATTTTTTAACAGATACATACTCTTAAATTTGATAATTTACAAATTCAATTTTGATGTGAATAAACATTTAACGAAATAGAAGGAATAGAGATAAGTTGAGGGTAAGTTTCAAAAATCGTAGACCATAACAATATAAAAAAAAAATTGTCGTAATTTTACAACGTGGATCAGATATCTCAATTCTTTTTTAGAAAATAGAATTAGAATTGAAAGGGAAATATTTTCATCCTTTTTGTAAACTAATCAGAAAGATCATAGAAAAGGAGACAGTATGATTATATAATGGCATGTTGTTAATGATATAATAAAATAGGGAAAAACTACAGTAAAACCTGTCTAAGTGGAACATCTTTGGTATCTCTAAAAAGTGTTCAACTAACAGAGGTGTTCCATGAATAGAGGTTTATATAACATTAAGTCAGTTGGTCATGGAACTCTGAGGTTTCACTGTATTAGAAACTTCAAACTTCAAGCTAACATCGTACAGTAATTCAACAATACTTTTTTGTAGACTCTAGAAATTAGAGAACTCCTCCATTTTCAAGACATGTGTCCAGTAAATATTTCCTGGATAATATATAGATGTGTGACCCATCTCTCTAGGAATGTTACAACTACATGTTCATATATATAAATGATCCTATTTAATTTAGCGATTTTGATATTCCATTTAAAGCGCCAGGCAGAAGATAATACATATCCTTTTGACATGTTTTCTTCTTGTCTTACTCTTCACTCTTGTTTTACTACATGCCAATCAGAACAAAAGTATGACCAGTAATGGTAACTCAGTCAAATCAGAAGTTAACAATTTTCTATACAGTAAAACCTGCTTATATGAAACTCCCTGAAATTATTTTTGGAATTTTCCATTGACTCCCATGTTATATGTGTATTATCAGATCCTCTCAATGTGAGCTTAGCGTGATGTAAATTATTTTGATTTAAAATGATGTATGATACCATGATGGGTAAATATCCACAAAAATTTGAAAATATTACCCATTTTATTACTTTATGGTTATCATAATCATGAAAATTACATAAAAATTGTCATCATGCAAAACTCAACTACCTTAAAGTTTTGATAAGCACCTTGCGCTGTATATTGCTTAAGCAGATCCAGATCCCAGAAATGTTCAAATTAAACAGGTTTTACTGTACTTTATCAATAACAATATGGCTAAAAGAATACAATCAGATTCTCTCCCACACACAAATATACTAGCAGTTCAATAATGTAAGACTTACTGTGAGTAGGAATAAACACATGAGAGAATCTGAAAGTAACTTTTTAACTTTTTTGCAAATACAGATCTTTATTTTTAGATCCCAATTCATGTGTCATGTGTGACTGACCCGTAAAAGTTTAAATGCTCCATTAATGTTCTAATTTGTGTACTTGCATATACAGTATGTCTTCACATTAAAAGTGATATAAAAATGTGAATGGTTTCGAATCTATAGCCCTACAAATAGATCAGTCAAAGATAATTCTATATATGGGCTATACACTGTGATATACAACTATGTTGGGCTATATATGAAGACCTTTATTACGGTGAAAGTAATTCTAATAACAGACCAACCCAGTAAATCATTCAACCTGTTATTTATGATGTCATCCTTACAGTTTTGTGGCAGTATTTCCAAAAACTTCTGCAAGATAGTCTGCAAGATATGACATCATAAATCTAGCCAATGTACTCTAATTCCTTGGTTCATCTAAAGAGCTCAGGATTTATTGGGAAGGGTCTATTCTAACTTTTTTGCAAAAAAGGAGCTTTAACCTGTATTATGCTTAATATGCACTCTACTTCTTTCATCAATAAATTCCAAACTATATTGTTTATCTTACTATTAACTTTGCTTTATCTGCTTTACTGCTAAATATTTTTTTCATTTTTTGGTTTTAAAAATACCTCAAAATATTGGATTTGTCTTTCATTATAGAATCCTGGATTTGGTTTGCAAATTGTATCCTGTGAGGTTTGACGATGTGTATTTTAGCTGACTACGCCATCTGGGGAGTGAAACGTTGTTCCTGCGTCATAAATTGTGTGCGGCTTGCTTGGCTCTTTGATGCAACAATGGCTGTCTGGCTTAATGTTGGTACTGAAAATGAACAAATAGTACGATACAGGAATATATAATTGTATTTGGTGATCTTTCGACCAATCAGAATAGCGATATTTTCAATATTATGCCATTGCTGCAGAATTCACATTAGCATTCAAATATAATGGATGTAGATAATAAAGTCTAAAAGCTACAAAAAAAACAAATTGCATTTTGATGTCAATCTTCCACTTCTCTATTGAAAATAAGATTAAAATGAATGCTGGTGTCATACTTTAACTGATGGACACAACATTAAGTACACATGTGAACAAATAAGTACACATGCGAACAAACATTTTGCAGTCAAATATGCACTTTAATGGGTATTCAGTGCACTCTATAAACAGTGGACAAATATGGGTTATAGTAAATAAAAAGAACACATAAATAAATGGTCAAAGATGGGACATCTCATCAAATGGGCAAACACTGGAATCTGAGAATAATGAGTATAATCAACAAAAATACACATGTAATTGAAGAAGAACAAATTAAAATTGCAGCCCCTGGCTGTAAATCCAGTGAAAAGGTTCAGACTGCTAAGAGTTAAAAGCGTGCAAGCTGTACTCTAAAGGGAGAGATTACAACACACAAGTTTCGAGAAATACCTGCCAAATATCCTGAGGAAGTATGGGTAAAGAAGTAGAAAAACATTTAAATCAGTAACAATGCTGCTATTGTACAATATACAAATTGAAATCAACTATGCTGCTATTGTACAATTGTACAAATTGAAATCAACAATGCTGCTATTGTACAATATACAAATCAACAATGCTGCAAATGTACAATATACAAATCAAAAATGCTGCTATTGTACAATATACAAATCAACAATGCTGCTAATGTACAATTGTACAAATTGAAATCAACAATGCCACTATTGTACAATTTACAAATCAACAATGCTGCTATTATACAGTTTACAAATCAACAATGCTGCTATTGTACAATTGTACAAATCAACAATGCTGCTATTGTACAATATACATATCAACAATGCTGCTATTGTACAATATAGAAATCAACAATGCTGCTTCTGTTCAATATACAAATCAATAATGCTGCTTCTGTACAATTTACAAATCAACAATGCTGCTTCTGTACAATATACAAATCAACAATGCTGCTATTGTACAATTTACAAATCAACAATGCTGCTATTGTACAATATACATATCAACAATGCTGCTATTGTATAATTTACAAATCAACAATGCTGCTTCTGTACAATTTACAAATCAACAATGCTGCTATTGTACAATTTACAAATCAACAATGCTGCTATTGTACAATATACAAATCAACTATGCTGCTATTGTACAATATACAAATCAACAATGCTGCTATTGTACAATTTACAAATCAACAATGCTGCTATTGTACGATATACATATCAACAATGCTGCTATTGTACAATTTACAAATCAACAATGCTGCCTCTGTAAAATTTACAAATCAACAATGCTGCTATTGTACAATATACAAATCAACAATGCTGCTTCTGTACAATTTAAAAATCAACCTCAACCATACAAAGTTATAATACAAATCAACAATGCCGCTACTGTACAATGACTTAAATGTACAAATCAACCTCAACCATAATACAAATCAGTAACAATGCTACTACTAATGTACCATGTAACGTAGAAACTTCCACCATATAATAATATAACAAATCAAGGCATGTCATAAAACTACAAACACCATCAATTGAATGTGCCAGCGTTTCTTGTAATAAGGCCTAGATTCTTTTCATTCATATTCCAAAGGTGGCACACATTATTTTGTTTGATTGTATACCCCATATGTATTCTGTAAAGAGAAACAACAATCTAAGATGTTGCTTTCTATTTCAGGATAAAGAATTGGCACTTTTTAATTTTGTGCTCGTATATTCCTTATATAGGCATTATAGGCAGCATGCCTTTAAACTCAGATAGTCGCTTCTAGCAGGGAAGAGAAAAAGTACCATTGACTGGTCCACTGACATAAGTGGTCATTAGTACTTTTCATATTTCCTGCTAACAGTACATGGACTTTCAAGGGAATTACTTCATCAATTTCATATCATGTGACCATAAATAAGCCATAAAGCATACAGAATACATATGGGGTAAATAATAATATTCAACATTCCCAATGTCTTACCATATCCCATTCCCTGCAGGAAAAGTCTGAATGCTTCACACACTTTCTCTGGGTTCTCTTCCAAGATCATACCTCCACAGTCAGCCAGCTAGAAAGTACATGCGATATCTCGATTTCATACATGATTTTGTTTTTGAAGTTAAATTGCAAATGGTAGTGCTCTCAACATTAGAATTCAATTCATCAATCATCATCAATTTCATTAATTGAAAATTTTCATTTCATTATAATCATTTCTCACCTTGAAATATGCCACGTTGAATATTATGACATGTTTGTCTCTTTGAGTAGTTTTGGATGAATCTAATCTGTCAATAATGTCTATTCAGTGAGGAGATTAACTTATCTTCCAGTTTAACCTATATTCTGACATACCTTCATCCAAGTAGAGTTAGTGGGATCAAGCCTTCCATTCATATTAACCATGTCATCTAAGTGTCCCGAGTAGTCCCCGGTGATCAACATTACGTTACATTTGAACTGTTTGACTTCTGAGTGCTTGTGAGTCAAGTCACGCTGTATACCAAGATCTGTACGTCTAAAAATCATAAATTAATAAATTGCTTAATCAATTGTTGTGACGGGGGGGGGGCCATGGATATAATGATGTAATATAAGAGAATGACTTCAGCAATAGAGCAAGCCAGTGCTGCATCCTGTTTGTCATTCAAAATTTTTTTGCATCCTGCCAAAAGGAAAGCATATTGAGATACTTCAGACAAAACAGGGAAAATTGTTATTTAGCACCCCTTTGGGAACCCAACATGGGACTACATGTACTATATGCTACGGGGTTCAATGCATTCGTATTGCTCATTTGAGGGAAAACCATGACTCCAACGAAACTCACAATTGACACTCCAAAGTTCACACTCCAATTTATACATTAACCACCAATCACACAAATATTTTTTAAGCATGTTGTCTGTGAACTCCGATAATCCATCTAAAACCATTAGAGAACAATGGACTTATAAATTCATAAAGTATGATTATAGAAATGAACTCCCAAATTAATAAATCAAAAATATGTACCTCATGTATGCCTCAATGAATGCTGCTAGATTGGTGGGATTGATCTGTTTAATGTAATCCTTGTAGACTTTCATCAGATCTTGGTTCCTGTTCTTTGTCGTCTACGATGAATAACAAATTAACCATAAATCATTTAACTGACAATAATTAAATCATTTAACTGACAATTATTTCCTATTTTTCATTGAAACTTTCAGTATGGAAGCTATTGCTAGTAGTTTAAATGACACATATTCTTTTAAAAACAGAGAAGATAGAAAAGTTCATAAACTATTTAACTAGGCCAGTTTAAAGGTATACACATTCATAAAGGATAGGATCACACTGAAAAGGTACAGAAAACACAGAAAATCATTAGCTGAACAAGACAAAATGTGATCTAGATAGAAAAAAACATTTTTTAACTGGGAATGTCTTAACAGATTTTTGCATTTTGCATTCTAAGTCTGATAAATCACTCTTTTTACTTACAGATCCAAACCAGTGCCAGAGTAGGTAGTCCTCTGTGAAAGCTGTCATGTGACCACTGCGAAGGTACCAGGCATTAACCTTCTGATATCCCCACTCTGTCCACCCAGGCGCTGAAGCTGTACAGTTGATAAGGAAGAGAGCATCTACACGCTCAGGGTGTTGTAACTGAAATACAAAATATTGAACATTTAACACATTATACATTACCCCTTGCTAGAATCATTGAAAGATGAACAGGTATTCACTTCAATATTTTGAAATATTTATATATTATGGTGAATATGCCCGTTTGAATACGTCTTTTTTCTGACCTCACAAGCATGGCCGTTGAATACGTCTTCTTATTTGTATGTCACTTGTAATGTGTAGATCAATGACAGTGATATAATAACATATATTATGACAAGGCCTAATCTGATGAAAGTTGCATTTGTCGCATGAGGGGTAAGTAAGATGGTCAAAGCATGAACCAATAATCACCATATTATATATGGCATTTATTCATAGTAAAATCTACTTACTGCAAATCTGGACAAGATGTTGGCACCAGCGCCCATTCCAAATCCCATGATCCTCTTCAGACTGAAAAATATGACATTATATAATATAAATTAGTTCAGTAAAAGTACTTTATTTTTGGCATACATATGATAAGTGATAAAAATAATGTTGCAAAAAAGAAAACATAATGCTCAGTATATATAATTGTTTGTATTTAATGAAATAGTCAACCTACTTATAAAACTGTAATACGGGAAGAAGCTGTGCTGCCAATTGGTCCATGTTCGGGAAATGGAGGCTGAAAACAAAAACAAAGATGGACTTGAGTGATGCATATACATTTGTTATAAATTACTAGTTTTAAATTATAGGTTGCACCTAGTTAAGAAGTTCCATGCAGTGTAAAATTAAGAAAACTAAGAAGACCACATAATTTTGAAGTAAATGGTACTATATGTTGTACCTAGTTAAAAAATTCTAGTGTTAAGATAAATGGTATCAAAAGTCCCGCCTAGTAAAAAAGGAATGTTCAACATAATGTTATTTTTTTAAGTTACACATTCCAAGATGTTCAATACAGTATTAAAATAAATAAATACATGTTATTATAAGCTACACATAGTTAAGAAATTCTCAATAATGTCAAAATAAATGGTTAGTAAGGAAGTTTTATAAGTTATATATAGTAAAGAAGTTGCAAATACTGTTCAATGGTATCAAAAGTTGTAGCTAGTTAAGAAAATCCACATAGTGTTAACATAAACTCCATCTAGTTAAAAGAAGTTCTACTAAAGTCAAAATGAATGGAAAATAAGGTAAAAGTTACATTAAAATGCTGATACCAAGTCATATGCTATCAATGTTAATAGCTTTTTTATCTTGAATAAATGTGCAATTTAATGATAATACAATTACTAATACACTGTATAATGTAAATTTATTCTTATACATAATAAGGTAAGAGGAGCATTAACTAACCAAAGTGCCAAGGAATTAACTGTGAGCCCAAAAACAACAGTAACAGGGAAATAATTGTATAGTAAGTAAATATATGTAGATGTAGTCATTAGAATTATAGTCATTAGCTTACAATTTGGGAGGGGAAACTAATTTTGATACTTACAATGATTATATAATGGTATGTTATGGGGGCTTGGGATGTGGGGCATATCCTGGGGAACTATAGATATCCTGTCAAAGGCATATTTTTCTCTTAACCTAAATACATCAAGGGAAAACAGAGACTTTGTCCTCTACACTATCACAAAACTAGCTAGAGGTATTTATCTTATATTAGTATGTACCTCCCACTGTTTTTTGAAAGATCAATGCTATAGCTGTAAACAGTATCAATCAATATCAACAATATATACCCTGGGGATATCAAAAGCAAACAATATCACTTTGAAGATGTCAAATTTTAAAAAATCGACAATGTACACCCTGGTAGGATATGGGGCTATCAAAAGCAAATATCACTCTGAAGATATCAAAAGGTTGACAAAACAAATGTAGGCAAACAGCAAAGAAAGTAAGACAGACAATACAGTTACAAGTAGTATTACTCTGATCTCAAATGAATACTTGTGAATTAAGTTATTCCTCTCTGTTTTCAGGTAGAACAAAAGGTTTCACTTGGTTTCCATTAGAAACTGCATCGATTATTTGAGTGAATATAATAAAATATAAATTAAAAATTAAAAATGGTCACAAGAGAAATAATTGGAAATGGCCACAAACAAAAATATCCACGAATAACTACAATATCAGAAATTAAATGTTGTTGTCTCGTCTCTATTCTTTCTACTTCCTCAAAAGGATTCAATGAGTCATTCCCCAAACTTAGTCTTCCTCACACTTGGAGAATCTTCATGTTCATGCACAGTGCATACCTACCTGAACCAACACGTAAGTTATACACAACATGCTTAAGGAGGCCATTGTTTAAAGAAGAACCTATTAGCACAGGCTGGTATCGAAAGATTTGTCCGCTGTGACGGAGCATGCTATTTTTCATAAAAACACTAAGAATGCTTCACGATTTATTTTTTAACTCATATGTTTCGTTATATCAAAGATAATTACTTACTACATGCAATGGATATATCATTTGCGTGTAACCTTCACTTCTGTTTGAAGTCCAATAACGCAAGGAGTAAAATCTATTGAAAACGGCGCCAGAGTATCAAACTCTAAAATGTACCATTTCTTTTTTAACTTTTTAATGGCATGATATAGTGACACGATACTATTGACATAATGTTTTCAGCATAACTCTGAATGTATTAATGAGATATTAATGCATTGGGTCTTTTTAATTTTTTTATAAAAAATAATATTTATATTTTTTGTCCGCTGTGACGGAGCATTTTCACAGTTCACATTTGCAACTGCTCCGTCACAGCGGACAAAAAAATTAAACATTATTTTTATAAAAGAATTAAAAAGACCAAATACATCAACATCTCATTTATACCTTCATAATAATGCTGAAACCATGTGTAAATATTATCGTGTCACTATATCGTGCCATTAGAAAGTTAAACAAGAAATGATACATTTTGAAAAATGATACTCCTGCGCCATTATCAATAGCTTTTCTTCCCAGCGTAATTGGACTTCAAACAGAAGTGAAAGTTAACCGCAAATGATATACCCATTGCATGGAGTAAGTAATTTTGTATGGTATAACGAAACATATGTGTTAAAAAATAAATCGTGAAGTATTCTTAGTGTTTTTATGAAAAATAGCATGCTCCGTCACAGCGGACAAATATTTCGATACCAGCCTGTGATTAGAAGAAGTAAATTTTCATCATTAAAGTTGAACTCAGACTGAATAAGTATATAACTCACCCCTCTTTAATCTCATCCGTCGTATCATTGCTAAATAACATAAAGAAATAAAAATGTAATTAATAAACTCAAAAGATTATATAAAGCTTATATATTAACTTGATATGCAAAATATCATATCTGAAACAAATCTGGATATACCATATACAGTGAAAATTCTTGAGTGGAATACCTCTATATGTTGAACACCTCTGTAAGTAAAACACTTTTCAGAGTTCCATGACTTTTTGACTTAATGTTAAACTTTTGAGAACGATACACATACTTAATAGGAATACTATTTAGAGGTACAAAATGCATTAGTTCAATGAGTCACTTATATCAGTTTATGCTTTTGATGGGAAGGGGCACTCGCCATTTGACAGTTTGTATATAGCACCTGATCTATTACATGGACATTTTTTATTTTAGTAAAATAAAACCCGAAGCGATCTCCCAGCATTAGAGCAACTGGGTCCTGTCACCCTGTTAAGAATCTGATAAGTACCTGTCATCCTGTTAAGAATCTGTTTGAAGCATGTCAAAAGAATGAAATATTGAGATATCTTTTAAAAAACAGGTAAAATTAGGATAAAGCACCCTGTTGATCTTTGAGGGAGATCACTGACCTCATACATTGTTAGTTAGTGTTTCCTACCTTGGGTTCTCCAGGAGTCCCTCTGAATCTTCGCCAACAATAAAACTACAACAAACCAAGCAGTTCACCTTTGCAACTAAATATAACCTTAACCATATAAATTATACAAATCAAAATAAGAATGAAATACATATTAATTAAAGGATTATCCGAAACATGCGCCATATTGACACTTATATTGCGGTCTGACAAAACATATACATGTACATGTAAAAGCACATCTTCTCTGCATTCTAGACAATTCTACCACTTGCGTGTCTAATATGTCTCTAGAGCAGGATTTTTTGAAGTTCATATATATAAGGTGGCAGACCAAAGTTTATAAATCAATATGATGATGCATATATAATTTATGACTAAAATGTTGACTATTTGTTATGACTAGAAGGGCAACTGTTTGTCATGACTAAACAATCTTCTTATATAGCTGTGTTTATCAAATATAAAAAATATACCAAAATAATACAATCAAATAATTAAACTTATTCTCCATATCACTAGTTTTTGACATGATTAAATATCCTCATACAGTGTATATACCAAAATGAAACATGTCTACTGTAAACTTCTTTTTGAGTACTCTCTGAGTAATTTTTTGGGTAACTGTCTGCAATTATTAGACAAGTTAGAATTACTTTTCGTGAATATCTTGTATGCAGCTTTTCTAACTCTACAGTACATTCATATCTAATAGCTGTTTTAAAGTTTACAGTAGACACACTTCCCTGTACAGTATTCATCAGAGCTGTTAGTACGTAATAACGTAATATTGCACAAGCGACAAATAAAATCAACCAGCAAATTAAAATACCCTTAAATCAATACTTTGAAACAATCATAATTATTATCAACATATCAGTGGTTAATTGTCTCATTTCTGAATTATACACCATTTTCTCTTTACAGCATGTCCAACGAAAATTGATGTGATATTTGTTAGGACAGCTTGTAGAGCATATACTGTACTAAATACCACAATTTGCGTCTCACCCTTGAGCCAAAGTAGCAGCTCCTTCCTGTTGGCCAGGGGCATTGACATGGTACAAGCAGAATGACTTCAGAATGGGACGCATCTCAGAGTAGTTGAAGAAGTTTTGGAAGTTAGTCAAATCTGTAAAATTCAATGCAATATGTCAAGCTATGTGACATGTTTACAATTGATTATGTTTTTAGCTCTATTGCCTGCTCAGTCTATCAGAGAGTTCTTTCCAAAATGACCAATTTAATTACATGGCTCCAAATACTAATACATAAAACTTGAGTTCAATCATATAAAAAGGTGAGTACAACCCTTTATCTAGCATTATGGTCTACATGGATCCAAATACTAATACATAAAACTTGAGTTCAATCAAATAAAAAGGTGAGTACAATCGTTTATCTAGCATTATGGTCTTTTGTTCAAGGTATGCTTACGGTTGAGTCCAATGTCATGATATGTGAGGATGGCAGGTTTGGTGACGTCTCCATGTACAGCCACATGTATAGTTCCTAAAGCGGTCTCAATGTCATTCTCCTAAAATGGAGCAATATAAATGAACATCTTAAAGACAATAATTTTACATGTGTGATCTATGTATATTATATCATGAGATGTTAGTCTACTTACATACATGTAGTCATCAGTATATTTTTGTGTGCATTCTTAACTATGAAAATCTGAAGTTCATTGTTATACTGTAATAACATGGGATATCATGACATCATAAATAATCATTGAAGAATTCTTATGAAAATTCACTCCTGATATGATTAACAGTCACATAATAAAAGATTTACTGGCTTTTATGAATGCTAAATGTGACAAGTGTAATAGGATCAAAGAATATAAGACTTAAGTGGTTGTTACCAACCTGATATACAACATGATGTTCACCCCCTATTTGTCTTGGACGTGACTCAGTGACATCTATATCCCGCAACTCTATATCTGTAAGTTTCTCCATTATTTCTGAAATTATAAGTACATGGAAATTCATTTAGATAAGTTTGTTCTTAAAATAAGTTTGGCAGATCATATGTAATGGGCTTTGGCAGGTATTCTCCATACAGGGTTAATATGTGTGAATTACAGATACAGAGCATTTAATTTAAGAAAGGAGCTTCTAAATGTATAAACATAACTAATAACATACAATGGGAGATATGAAAATTATAGAGGTCGCCAAAAATTATAGTTGATTTGTCATTATCACAAGGCACATCATTTTCTAACCAAACCAGTCTGGCCCAGTAATCTACTCTCTGAATCTGAAATGTCACTAATCACAAGATCTAACTTAACTATCCTTACCACAGAACATAGTTGAACAACCTAAACCCAATATACGGCTTTCTTTACTGATCTGAATTTTCCAGGAGCTGGTATTTGGTTTAACTTCCTTACAAATACTTGAAAATTATGTGAAAACACCTACCATCAAACGATTCCATGGGATGATATGTTCTTATTCATAATGTATGTATGTTTACCGTTTACTTGGATCTCATTATTCAAGGAGTAACATCACAGATACATGAATAAATTACAAGCGCTGGGCTAAATAACGCTACCATTTAATTCTTGCATAGTTGGCCGAAAATGCATGGAAGTTAAACCTGGCCAGGGGCCACAAGATATGTCAGATAAGAAATAAGGCCCAGAGACTAGGTTTAAATTGTTGAAATAACTACACAGAATTGTGTTCAAGCCTCCCACAAACTACAGGGGCTGTGGATTGATACGATCCGTATTCTGATCCGGATAAATTTCATCATAATAATGATGCATTGTGGGATTAATTTTGAAATTTATCATTGGTGAATTCGTAAAATCTTTTGGATATATTTTATCCTTATCTCAACAAGATTATCCAGTAATTTCACTAGAAAAATACGAAGGCCATATGTGGGGCCATAATGCTAATGGACAAAACTGATCAACTTCTTATGAAAAGATCACGAACAAAGTAAATGCTTGTTTTGTTAGGTAACATGTTAATGACGCCACATGTTAATATAGAATCAACAAAGATGTGTGAAGTTACAATTATTTGTTTGTTTATAGTTGCTCGATGGAATAAATATGTGACTGACGTCATAGTTTTTGTGATACGTCATATCTTAAATCCCAATCACATCATTTGACCAATTGGCAGTTGCCTTGATGATTTGCCATATTAGCTGATAAAGGTGGTCACGTGAATGGTCCTAGCCCAGTCTATAGAACGAAGGGTACCGCCTACTTCGTACTTAGTCATTTGGATCAATCTTGGGATTAATCCTAAGAAATTCTCCATCTAAAATGTCACTCGACTTTTTTGTGATTATGAGTCAAAAAAAGCATTCTTGAGTATCAAATTGACTTCTGTGGTAACTTGAAACCATCTTCTAATTTATTCCACTTACCTTTTATTGTTTCTCCAAATATATTCTTTGAAAATCTGATTTTAAGGGTGTTAATCAGGGTAATTCTGTGCCATTTTATCAAAAATCTTGTTGCTATCTAGAAACGAGCAATTGTGATCTTGTTGTTACCTAGGAACGAGCAACTGTGATGTCACGTCACACTCATGTTAATTCTGGAATCACATGGCAGCCATTTTGGAAATTTCAAAAAAGTTCCCAATTAAAGTGGGAATGTACCGCCTACTTCGTACTTAGTCATTTGGATCAATCTTGGGATTAATCCTAAGAAATTCTCCATCTAAAATGTCACTCGACTTTTTTGTGATTATGAGTCAAAAAAAGTATCCCATGATCCTGGGCCTATCGTAAAATGAAAGCTTTGAATATGTTGTTGCCTTTAAAAATGTATCTATTTTCCATGTATGCAACTAGAATTTGTGCACATACCTTATAACGATCGATAATGGCAAAGGAAAATCCTCTAATTCTTCGTCATAATTTCTCCTTCGACGTCCGCCATTTTTTATTAAACCGGAAGTTTTTCTCTGACGTCCGCGCAATGTTTTTTCACTTTTATTTCAGATTTCGCTTCGGATTCAACATTTGATGCTTTCTAATATTAATTTAGTGTTTTCTATCAGAAAGATTTCATAAAAAGACTCACACTATCAGAGATTTTATCGATTCGAGCAGCCAGAAAAATTAGTTTCAATTTCACCCACTACGTGTTTCGACGTCGACTTGGAAAGAATTTGAAAAATCTATGAGTGGGACTCCTTGTATGGAATTGTAGATTCTAAATGATTTGCCAGTTCTACTGGTTGATGAATATTGCCATATGCATACATTTTTATAAAATAGGAATAAGGAAGAAGATGTTGGACCAAACTTCACCCCGATAGCTCAGAAAAGGTAAAATTTCTCCATTTTTCTCTCCACAGACCTTAGAGCCGCTTTAAAAAGGCTAAATGCTGTTTACAAATTGGAAACTATGGCAGAATCAACAAAGGGTTTGTGAAATAATTAGGATATGGTTTCAAAATTATGCACATGACAATATATGACTACTAAATGCAGGCAGTGACTTTTAAGTTGCCAAAAAGTCGAGTGACATTTTAGATGGAGAAATTTTTAGGATTGTACCAATTCACCAAACATTTATCCAGATCAATATTTATCCTAGAAGATATAATTTATCCAGATCGATTACGGATGGTACCAATTGATGATTTACGATCGCCGGATGGATTCTATGTTGAAGTGACGTCACAATTAGGCCACACTGCTATAGCTGTTGATTTTGAGAGATTAACCTCTGGATTTCCTACTTTATTGATTCATTTTTCACGAAAGTGCTCGATTTGACTAGATCAACATTCATTCTAAGCACATTCCAATTACCAAGTCTTAGATCTTTCTAGATTCTAACATGATTTAGATAGCGGTTAAGCGCCCCCTGATTTCGAAAAATTGGGGGTCCGCCATTTCGTCTCTCCATCATGTCTAATATCATTTTTCTATGAAGTCACACCAATAAGACAAAATACATGACAGAAGTATCCACAAACAAAATGACTGAATTCTGATCGCAAAAGGTCAATTCATGCCTCCAGAGCAGACCCAATATTACAGGCACAGGAAGAGAGTTATTTTTCCTTGGACCAAGGCTTGGTACACAAGAACTGGGGGTTTCATTTTCTTCTCTGTCAATTCTACTATCTGTTACAGCCCCTGTGTCTACCCTAAGGCCTAAAATTTTTATCGAAGACGAACGATCTTACTGAGACTGGAGAGACAGTGAAGATTTTACTCTCAACTCTGCTTTCTAAAATTTGACAAAAAATATGATCAGAAATAGGGTGTATACCAGTATGTAGTTCTTGCTTTGCGTATTGTATTTGAATAAAAGGCGCTATTGACTCTGTGGAAGATTTTATCTAAGAAATAATGATAAATAATTTAATAAATTTCTTACAATTTCTTCTGCGTCGTAATTCCAAATTATTTTGAAAGGCTTAATTTGATTGGAGGGTATCTTTCCGGAAATGAGTTGACCAATGAAAACCTTTGTAACAAATAATATTTCGTGATTATGTTGCCATCTAAAGATAGATTGTAAAACTAAACGAAGTGTCTGGAGTACCTTAAAATTTACGTAAAGGCTAGAGTACCGACAATTGTCGGTACTCTAGACTCTGATGTGGTGGCACGCTAGAGGACCGACAAATAAATTGTCGGTACGGGAGATATGCTGTGTTTACACGCTAGAGGACCGACAAATAATGATTTTGGAATTTTCTAGCGCATGCGCAATACGCGGGGGGATATTTCAGATATCATACGGATATTTTGGGAACAAGTGCAAAACCCGCTAGAAAATAGCTAGAATGTTTTTTATTTGAAGCTTATGGTATGAGGTTCTATATCCATCCGCCAAAAGGTATGACCCCTATATAGTCCATTTAAAAACCTGTGGTATCGTTCTAAATAACCCATAGTTGGCTTCTAGGGTACCTAGTATGCCACTATTTGGTATCAAAATAAAGAGGAGTTCAACTTACATTTGAATTACGAAAATAGCGATGTAGGTCAAAATAGTTCCGAACGTGAGCATGTTTACTACGCGTTTGCCCGTCATATCCGAACTCCCGTGCAGTGATAATATCACTGCGGCGGGCAGGTATCTCACCGTAAGCATGGTAACTTCTAATAAACAACTGACGTGATTGGTTCTAGTCCCATGCTCAGGTCGCGTGATTGTTAAATTTAGACAATTTCATTGGTTGAATTGCGCGTATTAACTGATAAACAACACGTGCGGTAAACTATTATCAACACAACTTTTACTCAGAATTCCTTCCGCGGTGATTTCTTCTCATATTTCAATAATTTTGAAATATTTTGACAAAATAATGTTTGGGGAACATTTATGAATACATATTTTATAAGTTGTGTGAAAATTGACCACATATATGATGAAAAAGGGAACTATTTTCCCCAAATTTTGGGGATTTTCTTCGTCTGCCCGCCGCAGTGTCTATACCGAGACACTGCATGGGAGTTCGCGTCATATCAGAATTGAGGAAGTGGTAGCAAACGCGAGTTACAATAAACGGACGCTGATATCTCAAAAAGTAACCGGACTCCCTATAATTTGATGTAGGTCAATCGAACCCCTATATGGACAGGTGCATTTTGATATATAACACTATGGGGGGTAAGCGTTTCATAGTTGGTCACGAACGCCATATGTGCAAAGTATTGCTATGAATTTTCGAATTTGGTGTTGGATTACGGTACTCATACCTTATAGCACAATTTTTGATGGAAGTTGCATTTGGCTCCCTTAGTTAATCAGGGCCGTCAGATGGGGGGGTGCGATGGGTGCGACCGCACCCCCCTTTGACACCCCCCAAAAACTTAATTTAAAAAAAAATTTGTAAAATTGTAAAATTTTCTAGAGGGAGTGGGCCATCCTCACACCCCCCTCAATGCAATGGAAAAGTTCTGAATTTATTTTATATTGTCTCAGAGACTTTAAAGTGCACATGCAAGTGCCAAGACATCATCACATAGCTCCTTGATATAGTAAACGATTCTGGGGGACTAACACTTGCTCCCCCTCGGGATCCCCACCCCTCCCCACCTCCCCCTCTGGCACCCCGCCCCCCTTGACACCCCTCCAAAAAATTGATACACTCATACACTTTGAAAGTGCCCAGAGAGCACTAAATAGCGTTTTAAAATTGTAAAATTTTCTAGGGGGAGTGGGCCATCCCACACACCCAAAATAAAACAATTGAAAAGTTTTGAATTTAATTTATGTATCATCTCAGACACATGTAAAGTGCCCAGACATCATCAAATAGCTCCTTGATGTAGTCAATGATTCTGGGAGACCAACACTAACTCGCCCTCTTGCATCCCCACCCCACCTCCCCCTTCCCCCTTAACATCCCCGAAAATATTGTGATTTTTTCAAATTTTTTATTGAGTCATACACTTCGAAAGTGCCCAGAAAGCATCAAATAACATCTTAAAATTGTAAAATTTTCCAGGGAAGTAGGCGACCCCTCACATCCCCCACAAAACAATTGACAAAAATTCTGAATTTATTTCATGCATTGTCTCAGACACTTT